GAGAGAGAGAGAGAGAGAGAGAGAACACAAAAGAAAGGTGCATTTTCGTCAGAATACCGCTGACCATGCATGAAAGTTTGCTGTTATCATAGGACATCCTTCTCGAATCTAAAAGATAGAAGGAAAGAAAAGGGAGAAAACACACACAGAGAGAGAGAGAGAGAGAGAGAGAGAGAGAGAGAGAGAGAGAGAGAGAGAGAGAGAGAGAGAGAGAGAGAGAGAGCTCACCTCTCGAATGTGGGTAGGCGGTGGGCGACGGGCGGTCGTCAACTAGGCACAGGCCACAGGGTGGTGAGCGCTGGCCGGTGGGCGCTGGGCAATGCAGTAGCGCAGGGCAATGGCGCACGGCGGCGGGCGTTGGCCGACGTATGAAAATGTTTGTGGTGCGTATGAAAATGTGGGCTAATGTGCAGGCCAGTTCGCCGAACGCGAATTCCGGAAATAAGAGAGTGAGCCCTTTGAGGCCGTGCCATTATTCCGGAAATCCAGTACTGGGTGCCGGCCTGGTTTCGTGGCCCTGAAAACCGGTACTGGGTGCGGGCCTGGTTTCGTGACCGTTTTCCATGCTTTTGTGCTGGTCGAATGCAGAGTCCTCGTACATTATTTGCATGTGCTCCATTGCTTTTGGCCCTGAGACAAATTGCTGCAGAGCGAGGGCTCGTGCGCGCACGCGCGCACGAGCGAGCGAGCGAGCGAGAGAGAGAGAGAGAGAGAGAGTGAGACGTCCAGGGTGTGCTTCCATACAGCGTGTGAATCGGCCATGGCGACCAAAGGTACGAGGAGGTGTGAGGTGCCACCTTTCTTATTTATATATATATTTTTTTGAAATATGTAGAAAAATCGAATCGCTGGATTCGATCCCCACTAATGTGGGCAGGAGTCGGGATTGGTGGGAGAGAACCATAGATCTCCCACCTTTTTTTTCGTTTTTTTTTTTTGAATCTATGGAAATGGCGAATAGGTTGCTGCGGTGGATTCGATACCCACTAATGAGGGCAGGGATGATTGGTGGGAGGGAACCATAGTTCTCTTACCTTTTTTCCTTTTTTTTTTTTTTTTTAAATCTATGGAAATGACGAACAGGTTGCTGCGCTGGATTCGATCCCCACTAATGTGGGCAGGGATGATTGATGGGAGAGAACCAAAGATCTCCCACCTTTTTTTTCGTTTTTTGTTTTGAATATTTGGAAATGGCGAATAGATTGCTGCGCTGGATTCGATCCCCACTAATCAGGGTAGGGATGGTTGTTGGGAGGGAACCATAGTTCTCCCACCTTTTTTCGTGTTTTTTTGTTGAAATCTATGGAAATGACGAATAGGTTGCTGCGCTGGATTTGATCCCCACTAATCTGGGTAGGGATGGTTGGTGGGAGGGAACCACAGTTCTCCCACCTTTTTTCATTTTTTGTTTTCTGAAATGTATGGAAATGGCGGGAACGCCGGACCCCCTTCGCGCTTCGGAGGAGTGAGGGGTGCGTCTCGCCTTGTCCCCCCCTCCCCCCCCTCCCCCTCTTCCCCCCGCAGTGCAGAGGGGGTCCGGTGTTCCCGGAATGCCAGACCCCCTTCGTGCTACGGGGG